GACAACGGCTTTGAGGAGCTTGATGACGCATATCGTGGACGATTATCCACAAATATGCTGTAATTTATTGGGAAACCCTTAAAAGACGTTATACGCAAGGTTTTTTAACGATTTGTTTTACAATCAGTAAGTCGACAACCATATCATTGCCTACTTTCTATGGAACGTGCTTCCACCATTTTGGAATCAATCATGTTTTCATTAGACTACATCGCCATTTTATCAACTTTGTTTGTTGGGAATATGAGAACATATCTTGGGGTAATATGTTTACCTACAACCTTTGGTCTACGATTCCATTCTACAATTTATTAGGCCATACCCTTTTTGTCAAGACCCGTCTTGAATCATTCTTGTTATACTACTTCTTTGAAAGTTGGTTATAGCTTAATATTTTTCGATTAATGGACTTCCAATATATTTTCTGAATTCATTTAGATTTAAAAACACAATTTGTTGTCGTATTCTTGCATTAAAATTTCATCCATGTATGAAACCACCTCTAAATGTGGTACTTGGCAATCTTTATGGATTTGACTATATGCTTTATGGTCTGAAATTAAATGTTTTCAAAAAAATTTTGTTTGAAAATTGATCTGAACTAATTGAATATTGATCACGATGTTTTATAATTACAATTTGTTCAATAGTTTCAATAATTTAGGACTCCCTAATGAGATTTATTTTAAAACCGTTAGCGCTTATCATTTTTGCATAAAATGTTTAGTTTTTATGAGAGATTTTAAAAAATTTTACTTTTTAAAGTATTCAAATAATCTTTTAATGAAATTAGCTTGAGATATTTTATTTTTCTTTTCGCGATATTTTCATAATTTCCAAGATATTTAAACAGATTTCCCCTTTCGTAAATTCTGACACTTTTTTCATGATTTTAAATGAAATAATCGTGAACTGTGTTTAAAATTGCTTAAATTTATTCAAATACAAGAATTTTATACTATATTTTTAATATTTACTACGAATGATGAAAATTAGTCTTACTTAGGTTAGAGAATATACCAATACCATACTCCTATTTTTTTGAACAGTCGTAATCTGATATGGATTCCGAAAAAAGTAAATAACAAAAGAACTAATGAAGCTATATAAAAAATTTCATTCGTTTTTTATTTTAAACACCTAACAAACAAATATCGTGAAAAAATATTGGATTTCCGTAAATATTTCTTTTTAAAAATAACCTGCACAATTATTTTGAAGTCTCACTCCTATTTTTTTGAACACAGCTGTATGTTGTCATAATAGATTTAAACTTTACAGGAATACTTCTCACGACCTATGGAATATACATATAATAGAAATTTTGTCTCATTAGTATTTCCTGCATATATCGATTATGAACAAACATCTTTTATCAATAGATTTTTTGTTAAATTTTGATGTTAGGATAAGAAGATTAAAACTTATACTCCTTAATACTTTCTATATAACCATGCAAAATATTATTAAAATCTTCTTTTTTTTTCAATTTCAGTAACAAATCTTCCCAGACATCAATTGATAATGTAAAGGAGCCAGAACAAACGGAAATTGAAGCAAAGTCAAATGATTTAGAAAGGCAATCAAATAAAACACCAACACCTTCAGTAAAGTCAACATCATATTCTCAAAAATCAACAGCATCTGCTCAATCTAGTAATGGCAGTAGAAGCCTTAAGGAAGAATCGCCAGAGAAGACAAAGCCTAAAAATGATGATGATGATGTTGATGATCATACATCAACTAAAGAAACAAATGACGTTGTAACAACACCGCTTACAACAGTTGAAGGAACCGTAAGTGAAGTAGCAGAAATGACAGAAGTGACTAGTGAATCACCAACAAAGTGGATAACAGGCGAAGAAGTTTTACAATTAGAAGATGTGGTCGATGCCGTTAACGACAATGATATAGAAGAAATTCAAGAGAAAGAAGAAAAACTTCAACGTAATGGTAGTTTAGTAAGTTTGCAGAGTAAAACCGAAAGTATAAAAACACAATTGGAAGATACACCACCAGTACTATCAAGAACCCAGTCGTCAAAATCGCTAGTTATAGAGGAGGATATAGAGGATAATACCAGTTTTGTGGTGGTAGAAGACGTAGATGAAGTGGAAAATATCTCAAACACACAAACACAAGAAGTAAGCAATATTATTGAGGATACTAAAGCTGAGGGTGATGGACCTCAATGTTGTTCGAAACCAAACTCAGCTAAGTCTAGACCAGCTAGCAGCAGGCCTCAGTCTCCTACCATAGAAGAAATCAAAGCTTTATCGCGACGAAATTCGATGGTCAAATCAATGGAGTCACTTTATGAAAGACCACCCTCCAAACATGACTATATAGATAATACCACCGAAACTAGTTCTCAGTCTAGTGCTCAATTGAATAGTAGTACCGGTTCTTCATCTATACCCCTTAAAGCATTACATACACCACTTAAGCAAAAGTCCAAAACTACACATTTCCTTAAGAGCCATCGAAGAATTTCTCCCGTCAAGCAATCAATCAAAATGGTACAGGCTGAACTGTATCCAGCCACCTTGCAACGTTTCGAAAAACCCCGTGAAGCCATAATGAAAACATTCGATCAACTAGACTCTTCGAATTGGGAGGTGGTGATGGTAGGGCTCAAGAACATGGTTAGACTAATAAGATATCATCCCGAAAATTTAGATCCACAAATGCATATGATATGTATACAACTGACACGATCCGTACGAAATCTAAGATCTCAAGTGGCGAGAGCAGCCTGCACAGCGGCCACAGAATTATTTACTATTAAATCACGCTATTTGGAACAGGAATGTGACGATTTGGTTTGTGCTCTTTTACATCGCACCGCCGATACGAATCGTTTTATACGTGCCGACGCTACCCGAGCACTCGAATCGATGTGTGATAATCTAACACCTGCAAAAATTTTAAATATTTTAACCAACAAAGGGGCATTACATCCGAATGCTTTGGTACGCACAACTACAGCAAAATTATTAAATCGTTTGGTGGAACGTTTAAGTTGTGAGAAAATCTATACTATGCCTCGGGATCAACGTGATAAATTCTTTGTGACTGGTGCAAATCTTTTGCTCGAAGGCAGCTTAGAAACACGCAGCTATGCTAAGTCTTTGTTCAAATTACTCTCCAGTCATGCCAGCTATCCACGTCTATTGCTTGAAGTCATTCCACCACGTACATATCGCAATATTGAGAAAACTCTTAAGAGCATACGTTAAGTTAAATTTATATAGTTAAAAGTATTTAATTTTTAGTAATACACATACATAATACATACATATAGATATTTTGCAGTATTGTAAATAAAAAATTAACTATTTGTTTTCTTAACAAAAAAACGATAAGTTCTTAGAACACATAAACAAACAAACATATAGAAAATATTACATAATTAGAATCATTTGTGTAGAATTGATGTTTCAAACATTTATTCCTTCATTCATTTTAGTTTGTAACTAAATACAATTTTAATACAAAATCATAATTTAAGTGAACTTTATAATCAAATAAAATAAATATATTTTGGCTTAAAATTTTAAACGTTTAAATATGTTGTTGTGTTGTAATAAATGGATCTAGACTTTATAGATGTTAAAGGTAAAATTCTGAAGGAATGTGTTTTGTATATTTCCTACATTTTTCTCATCAATAGGGTCGGTCCACAGGAACACATTCGGAAATCACTTAACATTTTTTTGATAAAATTAACATAATTGGTCAAAAAATACATGTGTGCATTCCTTCTTTATGAAATATTCATTTAAGAACCATCCAGGATCTCAATTATAATCATTAATCAATTAAGTAAAAAAATATACTTACGTTTAAGGGTTAATTTCATTTTTTTTTTCGACATCATCATAAATACAGGTCTTCATTACATATTTTTTTAAGTTTCAATTAAATCGGTTGAAAACAAAATAACATTTCACTGTGATTTCAAGAAAATCTCCCAATAATGCAGATCTTGAGTTTGATCTTCACATGTATGTTTTTTATTATCTGGAATTTTATATTCTGAAAAGGTTTTATATAAAATGTAAGAATTGAAAATAATTTTCAAAAATATTACCAAAATAATAGTTTCCTCCGAATCTGTGAGATATATCGACTCAATTTCTTTACTATTTATTTACATTCTTTATTGTCCATAAGTTCCATAGAAATTTTCCCAAAATATTGAAATTTCTTCAACAAAATTGTTAAAAGTTTAAACTGGAAACTAATGAAGATATAAGCTCACATTTAAGTTAGTACGAATATATTTAATATAATGATTTGGTTTATTAGAATATTTCCCAAAATATGTTAATTTTTTTAAATTATTCCTCATTTAACTGTTTTATGACACTAAATGATCAGTGGAATTTGTAATAACTTTTAAAATTATTTACCAATTTTTGTATTTTATATCTTATTGGAACGATAATTGAATATATATTTCAATTATTTGCAAAAACCATATTCCGGAATGCATTTTAATAAATTAAAGTTTATGTCTACAGGTAGTGTGGGATCAGATTCGTAACTTTTGTAAAATTAAATAATTGAATATTTAAGACTCAAGTCTCGGCGACTTTTAAGGCCCTTTTTTCATTCCGCCTACCTTTTAAAGAATGGGCATAGCACTTTAACTTATTCGATGTTGAAAGTAAAAAAATCTTATTGAAAACAAATACTGATTAGTGCCTTATTAAGGGGTAATTTGGAAATACGCGCAAAGTATTTACTTTAAAAATTTGTATGAAAATAGTTTTATATTTTGCAAAAATTTTATAAAACAAAGATGAATATGAGACCGAGTTTTTTCTGTTTTCAAAATCGCAAGCAGTTTTTCAAATCTCAACTACACCAAAAAGGGATTTAAAAACCAGTCTTTAAATATTTCATTAGTTTTTCATACAAAATTTTTAAACAGGATGTGCATACAATTGCTTATAAAAACAAGTAATTGAATTTAATTTACAACAAAATGCATATTAAATGTATGTATAATAAACTTCGTATTAAGAAACAAAATTATAATATTTAAAGTACTGATAAGAGTATGTAAAAATTCCTGAGACATATTATAAAGTTAAAAACGATTTTTTTTGTTTGTTTAAGGCTGTGTACTGTATCATCAGCATATATACAATGTATTTTTATAAATTTTTTGTAAATTTTGATAATTGTTATAAGCAACAATCGTTGCCACATTGTCCACGACGCAACAAGGTAGCATATAATTTGCTATCTACGATGTTTTCCGCTACCACTACGCTGATCGGAATGGCGATTACTACCATTATTGTAATGGCGTCTTTTATTATGATCCCTATCTCTTTCGCGATCACGAAAACGATCTTCACTGCCGGTACTGTTTCTTTGGTAGGGACTGGTATTTGTATGGGGTCGTCTCTGAGATGAGGCGTGCTTTGAAATATTGTCTTGATGCTTACCAGATCCGGTTGGACAATCCGGAGAGTAATTTCCTTGAAAAGGATTTCTTGGCGGGCAATCGTTATAGGACACATAATTACCAGACCGTAGTGATGAATTGTCATAACTAGGACGTTTATTGTAACCGGGAGATGTGTAATTTCCCATCGGCGATTGTTGTGTTCGGCCCTGATATTTTATAGTTAATGTTTTGCGGTATAATGATAGACCTTGATACAATTGCATGGCATAGGGCAGTGTACACTTGTGTACGTATGTAATAAAGCCAAAAGTACGCTGTCTCCCATTCTGGTCCTTTGGTATTCGAGCACTTTCAATGGGGCCCGCTTGTAAGAACACTTCGTATAATAAATCCTCTGTTACTCTCTCATCAAGATTCGCACAAAATATAGTTCTTTTTTCCTCATTATCTTCATCCTCACTATCATCATGGACTTCATTATGGCTTTCCTGCGGCATTTGCATTAATTTAAAGTAATTTATCCAAAACACTAGATTTTTACAAACGCGAAATGTCAAAACAAATTTTCTAAAAATGAAAACAACTCTATGATATATATTAAAGCTGATAATTGGACAACACTATACTCAGGGGTTGCCATACGGTTTTATAGTTGAAACGAAAAGTCGACTTTTTTGCATTTAGTTAAAAGTCGATCTTTCGACTTTTTGCATTTTATGAAAAGTCGATTTTTCGACTTTTTTCATTTATTTAAAAGTCGACTTTTAGACTTTTCGACTTTTAGTATTTTGTAAATGGTCGACTTTTCGACTTTATCCGACTTTTCGACTTTTTTCGACTTTTCGACTTTTTACGACAAAATAGTCGACTTTGACTTTTTTCGACAAAAGGTCGATTGATCGATTATTCGATAGTCGATTTATAGAACCCTAGGTTGCCAAAACAATGTACAAGGTGAAGCAAATTACAAAATTACTGCTGAGTGAAAAATATAGAAAATGTATATCGCCAGAGTCAAGTTTATTTAAACAGTTTAAAGATAATAGCGTATTTTATAAACTATACGTATTATATGCATTAATACTTTATTTATACTCTTAACCTTCGTGAGAAAAGTTTCTCATTCCGTTTGTATATTCTACAATATAATATTCCGACCTCATAAAGTATATATATATTTTGGAGCCTTACAGATAGCAGAGTCGATAAAGCTATGTTCGTCTATCTGTCTGCATTTATAAATGTTTGTTGAAAAAATTATATGAAGACAATTATCGAGATCAAAATCTACAATAATTGTATTAAACACGCTTTCGAGAATTTTCCTATTTAAAATCAGTAAAATCGGTCGTAGAGTAGGATATTATGAAAAATATATTTATAGGTATTACCAACTGTCCATAGCTAATGATTAAACGTAAAGTTAAATCTATTAGTTATTGAAATTTGCAAAAAAAAAAAAAAACACTAGTACTAAGCGAGATACATATATGCAAAAAACGTATTTTTATGACCTTTGACCTGCTACCTCGTTGGTGAATTTTTTTTTAGTTGGAGCCTTAGGACGAAGCCTTTTGTAACTATATAAAATTCCCCAGTTTGGTAATTTTTTCGATTATTTTTTCTGAACGATAATTTCTACAGTAACTTACAGTTTCAAAAGTTAAGCAATAAAAAAACTATTGCTCAACATGCGTAACACATATTTTTTTAACGTGTATGTAGACATTTGTGGTTTGTGTCTATGGTTAATAGTAGTTTACAAGTTTTCACAACTCTAAGGTTATGTATATATCAAATTGCTTTGTTTTGACATTTCATTAAAAAATCTATTGTTGACAAACTATTTTAAAAAGTAAAATTAGCAATTAGAAAAATAATACTTTTTAAACTTTAGTTAATTATTACAATGTCTTACCAATATTATATGCAACACATACAACAATTGATGGCTATGGGGGTGTATATTGCTCCTGCAAATTATGCTCCTCTAGCATATATGCCCATACAAAACTTGGAACCCGCTATGCCTATGCCAAGGAATGAAATCGTGGTCGTTGAAAGCGAAAGTGACGAGGAAGATGATGTCGATCAAAGAACATTATTTTGTGCAAATCTCAGTGAACATGTAACAGAAGAAATATTATATGAAGTGTTTTTCCAAGCCGGACCTCTATCGAAAGTTCATATACCAAAACAGAATGGAAAGAATCGTTCATATGGTTTTGTTACATATAAGTATCGTTGCTCAGTGCCTTATGCTTTAAAGCTATATCAAGGATTAGTATTATTTGGTAAACGATTAGATATAAAATTTCAAGGAAAACATAATTCTAACGCCTACAATATGAGATGAAATCATTAACTGTGTCAGTTTCGTTTTAGAAAAAGAGCATCATACAAAATTCTAATAGGAAGATTAAAATACTTTATTGATTTTTTAATTTTTTAACGTGTACAACTGAATTGATTTTATGTTTGTTTGTGTTTCGTTTATTTTATATAATTTGCAATACTTTTTTTTTAAATAAATCTTATAAAATAAGAGAAACTATAGAAAAAATACATATTTTCTTTTTTAAATAAGTGCATTTTCAGAAGTTGATCTTATATGGGAGCTGTGACCAATTATGCACCGATTATCTTTACTTTCTATCTTAGACTTTGTTGGAAATAAGTTTTTAATGGCAAAAAATTGTATTTTTTTGATTATTTTAATTTGGAAAACTTTCAAAAAATGGCATTACTGGATGGAGCACTTCGATTGGAGAGGAATTCTGTGACATTCCAAATAAGAAGCAAATAATTTTGATAAACATATCGAGGGATTATATTCAATAGTCTCTACCTGCCACTTTAATCTAAATGAGATTTTGATGGTAAAATTTCCAGCAAACATATTTTGGTACAAAATTTTCAAAATAAACCCCATATCAGAGGGACATTTGTATAGCAACTTAAAGACCGATTTCAATAAGTTTCAGTTTAATTAATGTACGGATAGCAAAATTAAAAAAGTCCCATTTTATACTTTAATCCACTTTATTCACTATATCTTAACAAAAATCATGCAAACAAATTATTTAATTTGAGGGTTCGGAATCATCATCATCATCAAAATCATATGGATTAACAGCACCGCTGGTTGAGATTTGTTCAGAATTTTCAAAAGAATGAGTAGAATTCGAAAATACATTTAAATTATTGAATGAAGTATTTGGCATATCACTGCTTATATTAACACCAGAATCGTGAATTCTACGTACAGAGATAGGACCACGTATATCGTGAGAAATATTATTTGGTTCAGGAACAGAATTTTCTAGATTATTCAAATCTAAAGAAGACGAATGATTATTAGCGCTGCTGTTGGTATTATCAAATGAAGAATGTTGCATTTCGCTGCTCATGTTAAAACCGGAATCATGAATTCTACGCACTGAAATTGGACCGCGTATTTCATGTAAACTGCTATTAGACTCTTGTAAACTATTTTCCAAATTATTGTTAAAATCAACTGCAGTATGATTGGCATTAATCGAAATATTAGCTTCCTGCTGTTGATTTTTATTATTTTCCATGGGATTATGCGTATTGTGGCAACGTTTAGCATCTGGTTCTAATAACTCATTAATAAGTTCTAATTCTGGTGGTAGATTTTCATTATTTAAAACTTTATTTGGCGTAGCAAAACGTTTGCGCGGCAAACGTTCATTAGGAGGACTCCAATCCATAGCATGATGAACCTCAGCATGTACTAAAATTCTTTCCGAGGGTATTTCTGGACTACTACAGGGCGATATATTTGGATGAATACTAAAATTTAGACGTTATTATTAGTTTTAAATAGATTATATATAACATTTAATATAAAATCTACCTCATCATTGTGGAATTAAGAACTCGGCCATCTTGAGTGGGTAAAAAATCCAATTCACTTTCCTTGAGATTAGAAATAATTACAAAATTTGAAATTCATTGTTTACTTTACTTACTCTTATGGCCTGTTCCATATCACAATCAAGAAAATTTGTTTCTCCCTCTGTTACAGACATTTGCAAGGCATCCAGTATCTGGCGCATTTCTTGCAACTCCATGCCCTCTTCATAGAAACCCATACCTTTTTATAAAAGACCAAAATTAGTTTTGTTACAAAATAAATACATACTTTTAATACTCACCATTTAAGGTTATTTGTAATTCTTTGTATTCATTTCGTCTTCGAGAACTACTGCGTAATTCCATTTTAAATAAATTATAATTGATTGATTACTAATAAATTAACTTTCTTTTAATAAATGCTAATAAATATAATAATTTTAGATTTTTGATTTTTGCGTTTTACTTTAATTATCATTCGCAAATAACGGTTCTTTAAAAAAAACACTTGAAGAATTTTTTGGGAATGTATGTAATTGATTTTAAATGCTGTTTTAATTTAGATATTCCTTAAATGCAAGAACCGCATTTTAATACTTTTAAAATCGTTTAGTTTTTTGTTAGTTTTTATTATTCTATAATTCGAAAATTGTGTACGAAATTTTTAACTTTCAGAGTTTTTGATAAAACTTTGTAAATCTTGCTTAATTCAAAAATCATCAAATGATCTTAAAACTTTATTATATTTTTTACTTAATCCCTAAAATATGCTATAGTTTTATACTTTTTATACTTTGTTTTACTGGTTTTATATTTAAAATCCGATAATTTGTTTTGAAGTTAGTTCAAAAACAGTAAAATCTTTTGAATATTTTTTTTATACCCTCCACCACCATCAGTGGTCATAGAGGGTATATATAACTTGTCATTCCGTGTGTAACACCATGAAATATTCATCTGAGACCCAACAAAGTATATATATTCTGGGTCACACCGGGAAAAGTTATGAATCAAAATTTAAAACAACCTCGAAAAAATAAGAATTTTTATCACATTCTGATGTAATTTTCTCGAAAACTATGCAAGATAATTCTATGGAAATCACCATACATTCGTTTCTATACAAGATCTTGATCTCTGCTGAAAATTACTAAAATCGGTCCACAATTTCATGTACCTACCATACAAAAGTACATATTCCCGGAAAATGGGTTTTTTGTTAATAACTTCCGCCAATGTTGATATCTTCACAAAATTTTACAAATTTAAACCTTATGTCAATAGAATTCATTCAGAGAAAAAATTTTCTGGGTCGGTCCATAATTGGACATAGCTCCCATACAAGGTCCCCTCCCGAAAATTACTTAAACGAGCATAACTCATTACCAAATTAAGATATCCATATAAAATTTGGTATAAGCATTGCCCATATGCATAGAAATATTACTGTGAACATTTTTTACGATCCGTCCATAATTGGTCATAGCTCCCGTACAAGGTCCCCTCCCGAAAATCACTTAAACGCACATTACTCATTACAAAATTAAGAAATCCATATAAAATTTGGTACAAGTATTGCTCATATTCACAAAAATATTACTGTGAAATTTTTTTCCGATCGGTTCATAATTGGTCATAGCTCCCATACAAGGTCCTCTCCCGAAAATCACTTAAACGCGCATAACTCATTACTAAATTAATTTAACCATATAAAATTTGGTACAAGTATTGCTCATATGCATAGAAATATTACTGTGAAAAATTTTCCGATCGGTCCATAATTGGTCATAGCTCCCATACAAGGTCCCCTCCCGAACATCACTTAAACGCGCATAACTCATTACCAAATTAAGATAACCATATACAATTTGGTACAAGTATTGCTCATATGCATAGAAATATTACTGTGAACATTTTTTACGATCCGTCCATAATTGGTCATAGCTCCCATACAAGGTCCCCTCCCGAAAATCACTTAAATGCACATTACTCATTACAAAATTAAGAAATCCATATAAAATTTGGTGCAAGTATTGCTCATATACACAAAAATATTACTGTGAAATTTTTTTCCGATCGGTTCATAATTGGTCACAGCTCCCATACAAGGTCCCCTCCCGAAAATCACTTAAACGCGCATAACTCATTACTAAATTAAGATATCCATTTAAAATTTGGTACAAGTATTGCTTATATGCACGGAAATATTACTGAGAAATTTTTTTCCGGTCGGTCCATAAGTGGTCATAGCTCCCATACAAGGTCCCCTCCTAAACGCACATAACTCATTACTAAATTAAGATATCCGTTTGATACAAGTATTGCTTATATGCACAGAAATATTACTATAAAATGGATTTACGATCGGTCAATAACTGGCCATAGCTCCCATTAAAGGTCCTCTCCCGAAAATCACTTAAACGCACATTACTTTATATACATAATTGGTCATAGCTCCCATACAAGGTCCTTTTACGAAAATCTCTTAAACGCACATTACTCATTACCAAATAAAGCTATTGATACAAAATTTGGCACAAATATTAGTTTTGTATTTTTTTATACATATATATATCACTTTGAAAGTTTTTTTCTGGATAGGCCCACAATTGGTCTTGTCTCTCATATAAAGTCCACATCCAAAAATTACTTAGACACACAACATATTTCATTGACAAAAATAGATATCGATATAAAAATTGACATGATTATATTTTGTGTATATAAAAAATTTCGGATCGGTCCATAATTGCCCATAGCTCTCATATAAAGTTAACTTCCTTAAGTAACTTTATCCCATATATTTCATTAATATAAATATATCCGGATCAATAAATCATCCCCCATAAAAGCACATAAATTGGTTAGGGATTTTATCAGAATTTGCTCCATAAAGCAATTACTAAATGACTTCCTAATGATAGCACCCTCATCACGAACGCATAATTTAAACTTTCACAACTTATTAAATATCAATCTAAAAATATTTAGATGGGGGTTTAAAAAAGCAGGTAACCTCCATCTGGTATTTAAGAGTCGGCATAGCCGAATATATTACTATATCTTGGTTCTTAACCATTACTACTCTAACTAATTCGAACTCTTATTTTCATGTTGAGTGCAAAATATTATAGGTTCTCTACAAATGACTATTAAACTGAAACATTTTACTTTGATTATTACATTTTTTGTATATTATAATAGAGTAGTATTGGGGCATTTTATATCTAAAAGGAGACAAAAAACGAAAGAAAAAAATAAATGAAAACAAAATATATCTAAACATTTTTTTTCTGTCAAACTCTTGTGAAATCAAGTGAGTTAAGCTGCTTGTCTTCCAACAGCCTGTGGTGTTTTTCGAGTGCATTTTAAACATATCACACAGAGATGATGACAACGTTCTATGTGATGAGAAGGATGACAGCAATGAGGGCTTTTGGAAAATCTACTATATGATTGAAAAACATATAAGGGCATAAAAACCTAAACAGACGGACTGCGGTGAATATCAGTAATTAGTATTAATGAGTGAATCCGACTTTTCTTGAAAAGTGAAGTATTTTACTACATTTTTTGCAATACTGTTTTGTTTTCAAGATTTAATAGACTCCTTATTCTGTCTAAGAATTACATAATTACTAAAAATTTTCATTAAAGGCCCTCTGTCTACAAATGATTATGCATTTTAACTCTACCGCCCTTCAAGCACTATAAAGAATAACTTTCAAACATCTGGAGGAAAAAAACAGGATTTTTAATTATTTTTTTTGTTGGATAAACTTTTTTTTTGCTTTTGAAAAATTAGCTTTTACTCTAGTAAGTAGCACAGTTCAACACGTTTTTAACAAGAAAAGTTTTTGCAGCAACTTATATAATGTGATGTTGCACTTACATGCTCCCTTCTATTGTTCAGATTAATCTTCGTGTTGAGTACGAGAATAGCAGAACAATATACTAGTACTAGTGAGATAATCATTTAAATGGCAATTTTTGTAGTTGTCATTCCATTAAATAAGATTAGTTTTTATAATGTTTTTGTTTAAACAGTTAAATTAATTAAACGATTTTTCTTCTTCTATGTTTAAAAGTAATTTTATTGGTGCTTGTTACTTTATGTTTATTTATAAATAGAAGAGTAAATAAAAAAACAAGTTAGAGTGCTATATTCGGCTATGCCGAATCTTAAATACCCTCCACCAGCAAGCTACTTTTTATTGAAACCCATTTAACTATATAATTTTTAGATAACTTGGCAAAATTTTTGTTTCCTTATTGAGGGTACTAACATTTATGCATATGTCAAATTAATAGGCCAGTTTTAATATAATGATTTATCTGTACACAGAACATACTCATTTTGAATTTTATCCGGATTTAATCATTTAATTACGAATTAAGTGGTATTAAGTGGTTTTCAGAAGTATACCTTATATGTGAGCTAAGACAACCTATGGACCGATCCGGAAGAAAAAATCCGTAGAATGATTTATATATACAAAATATACATTTATGTCGAATTTTATCCCGATAATTTTGATTGTTAATGTGCATTTGAGTCACAACTCCCATATAAGGAAATGGTCCTTATATGGGAGTTGTGACCAATTATCAACCGATAATGAAAAAATTTCGTATAATGATTTATATGCCAAAAAAAAAAAAAAAAAAAAAAATTCAAGTCCAATTTTACTACAATAGTTTTATTAATTAATGAAATATGTGCGTTTAGGTGATTTTCGGAAGTGGACTTTATATGTATAGAAGCTATGACCTTACACAAAACATATTTGTGTAGAATTTTATCAAGATATCTTTATTTGATAATGAAATATGTGCGTTTAAGTGATTTTTTGAAGGAAATATTACCATATATGGAACAATCCGGAAAAAATTTGGTAGATTGATTTATATGCTCACAAAGCATATTCAAGTCGTACTTTATCCAGATAGCTTTATTATAATATGTGCGTTTAAGTGATTTTCGTAAGTGGGAGCCTATCCGGAAAAAATTTCGTAGAGTGATTCATATAAAGACAAAACATATTTGTGTCGAATTTTATCAAGATAACTTTATTTGACAATTAAATATGTGCCTTTAAGTAATTTTCGGAAGTGGGACTTATATGGGAGCTATGACCAATAATGAACCGATCCGGGGAAAAAGTGGTAGAATGATTTATATGTACACAAAACACATTCAAGTCGAATTTTATCCTTATAGCTTTAGAATTTAATGAAATATATTCGTTTAAGTGATTTTTGGAAGTGGACCTCATATGGGAGCTATGACCAATTATGAGCCTATCCGGAAAAAATTTTGACTCATATAAAGACAAAACATATTTGTGTCGAATTTTATCACGATAGCTTTATTTGACAATGAAATATGTGCTTTTAAGTGATTTTCGGAAGTGGGCCTTATATGGTAGCTATGACCAATAATGGACCGATCCGTAAAAAATTTGGTGAAAAAATTTGGT